AGATTATCCTTCGATTCTCAAGTGACTGGATTATTTTATTTCAACTTTAGTCATTAAATATTCTGTTTTGAACTACAAGGTATTATGGGAGAGACTTTTGGAAGGAGAAAAGCAAGAAGATACATTATTTTTAGAACATTTCTATGGGGGAAAAAGTGCCTAGACAAATTATCTGGGGTCCAGGGGTGATATACCAGGTAGCAATATCTAAAAATGGAACATAAATAATTTTCTCTGCATGTAGGACCAATGAAACAAAATCTTACTGGGTTCACTAAATCGAACACAGATAATATTTCGAGGCCAAAATATTTAGTATAGATTACTCTCCCTACAGAAGTGAAGAAAGCTATACCACTTAGATTATTTTTAGAAAACCTCAGTGGAACAGAAGAAGGTTCACAGATACTGGTAGATTAGAACACTTAATGAGATTTTTCCATGTCTTTTTGTTAACTTTGGACGCTGCTGCAGGAAAATTATATTTCAAGATTTGGCAATGGTTCTCACAGGTCTCACAGCTGTCAAAAGTGATTCTGAAGTAGGAGGAAAAAAGAAATAAAAAACAATGAGGGAAACACCAAGAGCATGATTTCCCAGCGATGTAATAAAAGAAATGAGTAATAACAATTAAAGTTCTGCTGTCTGAGAAATTCTGTGCAGACAGAAAGCACTGGTCAGGGCCCACGGTACGGTTTACACTAAGACAGCCAGAACGTTCCTGACAGTGATGCTGGAGGCAGTCAATTCTAGACAAAGGTTTGGAATGAATCTCAAGAGTTCTGGGGCCACCAAGAAGACCCACTGGTTCAATAACTCTGCCTCACTGTTCACCTAACTTAATTCCAGCTCACCTACGTAAACTGTCTGGTAATACCTCTTTATTCTTGGAGACAGATGACTCTTAGGAAGCTACCAGCTTCTTAAAACAAAGTAATTGCAACTCATTTGCCTGTTCCTTTGTACACCGTGTTGAAGACGCACTCAGTATCCATGCTCTGCCAACGGCAGTTCATCTCCGCAAAAGATATTACAATATGTCACTAACTCTTTGCAAACATTTTTCACATCCTGACATTCCCCAAAATGGAATGCCTCTTATGATTAATGTGGTAAGAAGCCACTGTGCCCTTTAATTGGCAGCATTTTTTTTCTTTCTTTGTGATACATAAAATCTTGGTGCATCTTATAATCCCTGAGGGCTCAGATTTCCTGAAATGCAGTTAAGTGTTTAGTCACTGGCACGTAAATAATATTTGAAATCGTGGGACTGGAAGAGGTTACCTTGTAGCATGTAGGCTGAGAAGAGGAGAGATCTGAGGAAATCCCACGTTTCAGGCTCTGATGGAAGAGGAGGCATGAGAAAAGCAAGCCAGGGAGGACCGGCTAGTCAGGAGGCAGATCAGGGCCAGTGCACAGAGGGACAGGGGAGACAGCACAAGGGAGGCGGGAACAGAAAAGGCCCCTTGGACTCGGTGGCGTGGAAGACCTGGCAAACTTAGCAGGAGTGGTCATGGGAGCGCTGGGACCGGAAGCCACTGCCACAACGGCTGGAGGAGTGCACTCAGCAGAGCTGAGAAAGCAGATTGTACTGTTTGTGGAGGAGAGGGCAGAAGCCAGAGGAGGTGGCCTGACCACCCAGGCTCCACCCCAGAGCCAGCACAAGACCAAAACATGCCAAGAGCTTTCCAGAAGCAGCTGGGACATCGAGACAAAGCAGCCTATTCACATGGCCAGTGAAGGGGCACCTCATGCTGTGACGCACACAGGAAATAAAAGGGCTCCCATCAGGGGGCCTCCATGAGAAACACGGTTTAAAGGGTTAGAAAAAGGAGGTGAGGGTCACTGGGCAAGGATCTGTTTACCCTGCTTACACTGAAGTCTCCCCATCCTGTGAAGCTTTCTTCCCCAGCTTTCAAAACTGGTCTTTCTAAAAATTATGAAACATGCACTTACGTATGCAATGTTTAAAGATTCAGAAATACTGAAGGAAGGAAAGAAAATCACCCCTAGTCCCAGAATCCAAACACAGGCACTGTGAACCCTTTGGTGTATTTTAGAAAATATTTATAATTCATTTTAAACATTTTCTGATTAGGTGGTGAGGTGCCAAGAGAAAGAAACCCAGGAGTGGGAGAGGAAAAAATCTAATCGCAGCCTTTTGCTTTACTGAATCTTTTCTTTTGCCCCCAGTCTTTGGGAGAGCAGGCTGTATACTGTAACACCTTGATGAGTGGGAGCGGGGCTATGTAAGTAAGAGGCGGGTTTCCATTCAGCAGAGCTGAGTCATGGGATGGAGACACATAAATGTACGGTGAAACAGTCTGTAACCTGAACTAACTCAATGGGAGCAGAAGATCACGCAAGAGGAGACAGCGAACATTACCAAAACAATAATGATGAAAATGACAACAAATGTTTCTAGAGCACTCACTCTCTGCCACGCACTGTGCTGTATCTCTGCATATCTGACCTGGGTTAATCCCCACAACAACCCCGTGAGCCAGGTCCTCACTAACCCCCATTTCACAGTTATGTTGAGAGACCCAACAGATGTCCCCAGATAAGAGCACATGGTGAGGCTCGGCCCGGATCTGAGGTCCACCCAGCTCCAAAGCCCAAGTTCGTGGGTCACCGAGGCTGTGGACTCCGGTGAACGCCTCA